GTTCGAGCGCAAGTTCGCTACCGTTCTAAATACTTATCGCCCAAGCCATCAAATGACTTTCCTGTTTAATTAAAAATCAAAGAAATCGACTGATTTACTTTGGTATTCCAAAGGATCATACGTGCCTGGCATCTGCCGAGGAGATGATGACATAAGTGGTACGATTTCATAGAAGCCTTGATAAATCACGAGATCGAGAACACACGCGCGAAGAGATGACGCACGTATTATTGTGCTGTGTAAGACTTTTTGTTTGATGTTCTGCAGCCTCAAATCTTTGGGGTTCGTATATAAACAAAGGTTGCCAATTTCGGTAGGAGATTCAGACTGTGGCTCGCGTGGATAGTAACATTTGTGCGAATGAATAAATATTTAACCATAGATGGATTAAGGGAGATCGTTATCCAAGAATTTGATGTTTTTATTCGTTGAAAGTTAATAATGCATCCGAGATCATTCTTCATTGATCGTGAAAATTTCATAGGTTAATTGATCGTTAAACGAAGAACAAAAATCATGTTGCTTCTCCCATTGTCCCTTTCATTGTTCGATTCTATATTCTGCAGTGCTTCTGCGCGATCACGTGTCATCATATAAAGTTCTACTGCAATCAGTAAGCTTTCTCGATTTAAATGAATTGAGTGCAGATGACAGTAAGCGATCGAAAGAAATTGAAGTAGTCAATCGCATTGTAAAAATGTTACCAATGTTGGATATGAATGTGACCGTGTGTATATTAAAAGCATGTCTTCGTCATTTGGCATTCTTTATTGGTACAACACAAAGGACAATGTCTTCTAATGCTTCACTTGAATTCATTCGAATGATTTTTTACCAAAGAGAGAAATGGAATGTTTTTGGACTTAGCGTCCCAAATGAAAGATCAGTTTATCCATAGGATTTTATTCCATATGAATTAAATGGAGTGTATGAAACAATGAACCAGGCGGAAATTACAGATACGTCTTGATGATGTCTTTGTCGAACAGTTTATGCCTCCGTCTAGGCTGTTTTCTATAAACTTTTTTGGAATGCATCTATAGACACTATAAAAGAGTATGATTAGACAAAACGCTAACGTAATAGTACCAGGCAATGAAAGAAAGGTACCCTGCATTCTTGAGGTGACTTTGATACGGTAGGTGATCCCTCTTTCTTCCATTATTCTTTTCTGTTCTCTTTTTTTATGTCAAAAACAAATGTGCTAGCTTCATTGAGTAAAGCTCGGAGAGAAATTCCTGATGTTCTTGTGTGAGCTTCTTTTGCCAACGATACAGTTACAGAATATAATAAACTTACTGTAAATGATAACAGATGATTTAATATAGTATAGTAAATTTTCATAAACTTAACTAACAGCCGATTACTTAATTACAATGAGAGCCGTTATTCGTGAAACCTGCCTGGTTTGACGGTGCTTACCACATCCGGACTGTATTGAAAAATTGATTTGTCTATGCGCATCCCAAAGAGTATTCCAAAATTTTTTAGTACAGTTAAAAAAAGTAGTACTAATATGCATTGAATAAAATAGCAAGTTTAATCTTTTATTTTTTTGCCTAATAAAAATTATTTTTTTTATATTCTCCTATTTTATCCATACTTATCTTATTTGACACAAGATTAATGATCGATAACATACCATTGATACATGTATTAGAAAAAATTTAAGATTCTTACAGTATCTATTATAAAAATAAATTGTTTTTTTATATAATCATTAATTTTTTATAAGTAGATACTATATATATATACAGTGGTACCCAAAATTTTTTGGAAAAATTTTTTAAAAAAATAAAAATTGTATTATTATTTAATAAATATT